CCTGCGGATCGTCCCGTCAGCTTCTGAAAGTATAATGTGCCCGACACAGGGGGAGAAATTGAACGCGAGGTCGGGACTACTTTCCCCCTCGCGCGGAGGATTACACACAGTTTGAATGGGCTCTATACAAAGAAGAGAAACTAATTGGAAGAAACTAATTGCGCCCCCGCTTTTCCCAAGGGACTTGGGGGTATTCCCGGGCCAGGGGAGCCTCGCTGCGAGGGGACGGGTCTCCCGGGTGACTGTCGGCTCCGGAGGGAAAGGGGATGGGGTTGGGGCGCTCTCGGCTAATGGGGCGGGGAGGCTGGAAGGGGCTGGGCCGCGATCGCGCGAGGCCGGAGGGAGTCCCCGCCGCCCGAGCCCCTTCGGTGCGGCAGAAAGAGGAGCCGAGGGCCGAGTGGACCTGGCGTAGGGGGCCGACAAGGGCGAGAAGGAAGGAGCCGTCTTCGTCCCGAGCCCTCGGTGGGGGAGGGGGCCACAGCCACTTCTACGGATCCGCCGCCTGGCGGCCTCCCCACCCCAGCCCCGGCACTCGGGGGGTGCGGGCACGGACGGGCCGGGGTCGCCGAGACCCAGCCTGGGACACCCGATCCTGGGGGCGGCCGCCGGCTGGTCGGTGTGACCGCCCTGGGATCTCTGTATGCACCCCCACCCACACCACGCGTTGTTGATTACACCAGAGAACGTCCATAGGCGAAGTCGTTCTAGTCTATTTTTTAAGGAAGCTTGGGCCGTTTTTCTTTTTAAGTTAGTTCAGACCTAAGCTTCAGATGGGAACCGTTTACACCAGCTCAGGATATAAATAGCTACAGGGAGAAATCAGGAGTTCTTCGGTTTTAAAGCCTGAATAAGTAAGCAGGGTTTTCTATTTCACGTTTTCCGCGGCTTGAACCATCCTTATAAACTCTATTGAAGTGACCACGTTTACTTTGGCCTAAATGGCTGGGAGCCCTCGGTAGGGGAACTCTGCCCCCCCCCAAGTTCAGGGTCCAGCTCCTGCATTGCCCGAAACGGGATGCCCCTTCTTGAAGAGCGCCAGTGGTGTAGGGGCGTGCTGCAGGTGTGCTCCTGAACCCTCGAACCCCCGGGTCAGCAGAGCCAAGGTTAGGAACCAGTGTGGCACTCCTGGTGCTGAGGCTGGGCCGCCAGGAGGAAGCCTCTGACGCAGGGGGCCAAGCCCTGCCTGAGGGACAGGCTGGGAGCACTACCCTGGGAGTTTGGTGTCTAAAACCCAACCTACAAGGGTGGTAGCCATTTAAAAGGGCAGCAGGGCCAGCAGGGATGCAGGACTCCCTGCCTACCCACCACCCCCGCACCGCCAGCCTTCTGTTCATTTCCTTCAACAAACATTAGCCCTAACAAAAACCAGTCCTTGCTGTAGCTGGACCCCAAGGCCATGGGCGATGCTACTTCTCCGCCTACAGCCTCACAGCTTCTTCTCCATAAAAGGCAAATATGATACAAAGCCTGATGGGTCGTCTTTATATATATTTTTTCTTTTAAGTTTTTTGCTATAGGGCACATGTGCTCACCAAAGAGAAAGAGACAGGGAAAGTAAGAAATCCCCCCCCCCAGAAGGCCTCACCGCAATCCTCTCTCTTCCGTTCTCAGGATTTGGGGTACACATGCACCCAATGTGATTTCCAAGCTACGAGGTCTCGGACTTGAACCATGCAGCGGGCCATATTTGATACAGCACCTTAACAGCCACACCTCCTGCTGGCCCGTAAATTTTTTTAAGAGAGATTTTTGCTATAGGGCATGTGCGCTCACCAGAGAGACAGAGACAGACAGGAAGCAAGAAATCATCCCCCAAGATGGATGGCCCTGTAATTTTTTTATTTAATTTTACTTATTCATTCATTTTTTTTTTTAATTTGACCAGAGAGAGAGAGACATAGAAAGAGAGGGAAAGTGAAAAAGCAAGCCACCAGGTCTGGGACTCAAACCATGGTTGGCCATGTGTGAGTGTCCAGTGCCTTCACCACCACGCAACCTGCTGGTCCCGGCCCTGTAAATTTTTTTAGACACAGGATCTGGCTAGGTCACTGGGCCTGGCCTCAGCCTCCTAAGTAGTTGGGTTTATAGGGATCCACCACTGGGCCCGGCAAAGCTTGAGAATTTTTAGTATGTCTC